TCAGCACCCTACTTTTCTGGATGAGGTAAAACGAGCCTGGCAAAGACCAACTTATGGTAATCCAATGCAGTCTCTCTTCACTAAACTAAAGCGGGTGAAAACTTGTCTCAAGGGGCTTAATTACTCTTCCTATAGTGAGCTTCCTAACAGGGTTAAGGAAAAAAGATTAGAACTTGAACTTCAGCAATTAAAGACACTTCGAGGAGAAGATGATATTGATAAAGAGCTGCTACTCCAGAACGAGCTGAAAATTCTCGAGGAAGCAGAAAATTTATTTTACCGACAGAAAGCTAGAGTGCAATGGTTGAAAGAGGGTGATAAATGCACTAGATTTTTCCACTCTTCTGTTGCCTTTAAAAATAAAAGAGATACAATTCGAATTATCATTGATGAGCAAGGTAATAGATTGGAAACCTATGACCAGATTTCAACTGAGATCATCAACTTCTCAAATCTTCTTGGTAAAGTTGATCCTGCAGTAAAGACTACAGATCCTAAACTGTTAAAAGACCTTTGTCATTTCAATCTTTCTGCTGATAAGGCTGAAGCTCTAGTTAAAGATGTCACTAAAGAGGAGATTAAAGAGGCTTTCTTTAGCCAAGGCAACGATAAATCTCCTGGACGGTCCAGATGGCTTCTCCCCATTCTTTTTCAAGCAGACCTGGTCTATAATTGAAAGAGACATTACTGCTGCAATTACTCAATTCTTCCAAGAATCTTATCTTCTGCCAGCCTTCAATGCCACTGTTCTTGCACTGATTCCTAAGATCCCTAATCCTAGTAAGGTAAAGGATTTTAGACCAATCTCTTGTTGCTCAGTAGTCTACAAAGCCATCTCTAAGATATTGGTAAGAAGATTAACTTGTATCATGCCTGAGCTAGTAACCCTTAACCAAACAGCTTTTGTGAAAGGAAGAAGCATCATTGAAAATACTCTACTTGCACAAGAACTGGTTAGAGGTTACAATAGAAAGAATATATCTCCAAGATGCTCGTTGAAAATTGACATCCACAAGGCTTTCGATTCTCTTAATTGGAGCTTCATCTCTACCATCTTGTCTGCGATAGGTCTTCCAAGGTTATTTATATCTTGGATTGAAATCTGTTATACCACAGTAAGCTATTCTGTCTCCATTAATGGGAGCTTATCTGGTTTCTTCAAGGGAGCTAGAGGCCTTAGGCAAGGAGATCCCCTATCTCCCATTCTCTTTGTTCTTTCCACGAATATCCTTTCTTTCCTCCTTAATTTGGCTGCTGTTAAGGGTGTATTTGGTTTCCATCCAAAGTGTAAAAGAATAAGCTTGACTCATTTATCATTTGCCGATGATTTACTTATCTTTTGCAAAGGTTCTGCGGATTCAGTTATTGGTGTCACTAGTGTTTTGGACCATTTTTATGAGATGTCTGGACTTCAAATTAATGCCTCCAAGAGTGAATTTTACACAGCTGGAATGTCTTCGGGAAATATTGAGATTATTAAGCAAGCTACTGGCTTTAATCATGGTTCTTTGCCAGTACGATACCTAGGAATTCCACTGCTCACCAGGAAAATCTCTGAAAAAGACTGTGATTCTCATCGACAATATTAAATCAAGACTGTATCACTGGTCTAGTAAATTACTTAGCTACGCTGGAAGGCTGGAGCTAATTCGAACTGTGTTATCTTCAATTACTAATTTTTGGTGCAGACAAATCTTTCTGCCGAACTCAGTCTTGAAAAAAATTGAACAACTCTGTTCCCGCTTCTTTTGGAAAGGGACTGATAAAGCAGCAACAGGAGGTCGCGTAAGTTGGAACAAAATCTGCACCTTGAAATCTGAAGGAGGCCTGGGTATCAAAGACATCAAGACATGGAACAAAGCTTGTATGTTCTTATTAATTAAAAAAATTCTTGCAGGTGAAGGCTCTCTATGGGTTGCATGGCTTCACAATTACATTTTCAAGGAAAAAAATTTCTAGACAGTTGAAGTTAATCTCAATACTAGCTGGTGTCTTAGACGACTCTTGAAACTGAGAACAGAGGTGCATAATATCCTTCTGTCGGGCGCTAACAAATCAAGTTCTATATGGGATTCCATCCGGGAAAAAAGGCATAAGGTTCCATGGCAGAAGCTCGTATGGTTTCCCCTACAGATCCCAAAGTACAGTATGATAACCTGGATGGCCCTACTTGACAAACTCCCTACCAAGGAACGACTCCATCAAATAGGGCTTATTAATGAATGCTCTTGCGTTTTATGTAATTCTGATCTGGAAACAAGAGAACATCTTTTCTTATTATGCCCTACTGCTGCTTCTCTATGGGAACAAATTTTCTCCTTGTCTGGTCTGCAATTTACAGCCTGCTCGTGGGACGTTTTCCTGGCCAAGGCGAGCTCAAACTGGAAAGGAAAAACAATGTTATCAATTGTAATGAAGATCACTTTGAACGCAATGGTATACTTGCTTTGGGAAGAAAGGAACAAATGACTGTTCCAAGGTCGTTCAAGGTCAGTTAATGATCTGCTTAAGGACATTAAATTTATTGTATGTCTTCAACTTAAGGGAAGGAATTTCAATAGAGTAGATAATGTGAATATTACTCTCTACAATCAATGGGGTATAGATGATCATTGATTTTGTTTGTAATTGCTTTGTTAATGATCCTTGATTGTATTTTGTAGCATTTTGCTATATGGATAATAAAATTCTGACTTATCCAAAAAAAAAGATATGAGAGAATTTGAAATGAGTTACACCATCCAAATGAAGCAGTCAGAATGGAAAACGAGATAGTTAATGACTTGAGAAACACAAGGTTAATGTCCGAGTCTTCATGTAACTGTGGGATGTGTATAATTCTTATAGTGGTTAATGATGGAAAATGTGTTAGACGTAATTTTAGGCCAGCTGCATAGAAGATGCACAATTTGCCTTGGCACTGATAGGAAGTTGAACTTGTATACCTTATCATGGACCTGTTTTTATTCCCTAATCCCTACTTTTCTTGTGGTTCATTGTCCTACTTTCATCCAAATAGCTTATTTCAAATTTTTGTACCATTTGTCAATAGATGTAACACTGGCTTTCTTCTATTTCTATCTTAGGCTGCATCATCTACCAAGAGATCAGCTAAAGTAGGACCGAAATCCGCAAATCTAGGAGTGGGATCAACTGGGAGATCACCATCAGTATTCAGGGAAGCAAATAAAGATGTCCTTTCTGCTGGTGGATCTGAAGGTGAGTCGAACTTTCATACAGTTGAGTCATCATCTCAATCTGGCATCATATCCTCGACTCCACCAACTGGTGGTCATGGCTCCCCAGCATCTGCCACACGAAACTTTATCCTTTCAAAGCAAGAGAGAGGGAAAGAGGGAAGTAATTTGCCAAAACATCGAATACCAGAGAATGGTAAGGTTGTAAAAGATCATAAGAATGGTGGCATGCCAAAACTTGGATCCCAGAGAAATAGTCGAGAGGTTATGAGGAAGAATAACATGAGAAGTGCTGGAATTGCCAATGCCAATGGTTCTGGTATGGGTCTTTTGGAAGTGGTGGCTTCCTGAAATGATCAGCCATGGTGTGTCATCCTCACCCATTTTTCTTTCCCTTTTAGCCTGCGCAACCGACACATGTATCTTCAAATTATCTAATCACGTGTTGTCTTCAATGCCAGTATGCACATTAAATTTATACTGTACCCATAATGTCGATGGTCCCAGGTTTACATTGAAAACCTTGCAATGGAAAAAGCGAAATGGCAAGGCCGGTAATAGATTTGTTGATACTTGATAGTAGTGTTTCAGGATTGCTTAAAACAACTTAAATTATGGTGGTTCTGTTGTTGTTTGTATCCCTTACCTACCACCCCTGCCAACATATTCTCTCTAGAAAGACAATATTTGAGGCAAACGGCTTCCTCTTTTATCAGGTTAAAAGCAATTTAAGATGGCAACGAATAGCATTTGAAGCGTATGACTTCGGGAAACCTCCATTTTGGATGTGGTTCGAGTTCGAGTATTGTTGAGTTTGGTTCGTCTCGAAAAGTTTAAATTTGAGTTTGGTTCAAAAGCTTACGAGTTTAAAATTATCAAGTTTGACTCGAACTCGAAATTAAAAATTAAAGTTCGAGAAAACTTAAAATATTCTAAGGTTGTTGATCTTGGTTCGACTCGAAAAGTTAAAAGTTGAGTTCGACTAGAAATCTCATGAGTTTAAAATTATCGAGTTTGGTTCGAACTTGAAATTAAAAATTAAAGATCGATTTGAGCTCGAAAAAAAACTTGAACTCAAAATATTCTAAGACTTAGCTCGATTGAAGTCCGAACTCAATCTCAAACATGAATCTTAGGTACAAAAAACTTAGACTGCATTTGAAAAAAAACATAAAAATATTAATATTATTAATAATTTAATTTTAAAAATTAAAATTTTAATGCATCAACAAAATTACCTTAGTAGTTAAAAAGGGATTATTGTTATCTCTAGATGTGTCACGTAGGAGCACTAGTAATTACATGGAATTTGAACATTTCATTGTCAAAATAACCCACATGGAAGATACATTTAGTGACAAAAAAGAGAGGAGCAAAATCAGGTCAAGATGAACAATTTTAATTCACAGGAGATTTTCCATTACCGTTTGAACTTCCATTATCATCCATTGTGAAATATATACAAAATAGGTGATGCAATCAAGCAGCTAAGCAAAATTACAACGAGACAATTTAAAATAGAAACATGGAAACTAAAAGAGGTATTACTATTAACCATACTTAAAATCATCTTATCCATTGTCAAACAAAAGAGATGAGAAACAGTAAGTACATGCACGACCTCCTCTTTGGTTCCTTTGTCTTCTTCACCATTTTCGTGGTTTTTTCTTTCTGCAACTAAAACACATACCAAACCCCCCTTTCTTTCATTTCTTTTTAATTAATCGTATCAAACATGGCTTAATCATTTAAATACTTTTACACACAAAAGAACTTTTTCTTTTTTCTTTTTACTTCAACTAGCTAGTAATTCCCTAAACTAGAAATAACTAGAATAATAAATACAACAAGACTTGTGGTAGCTGTGATGATGAAGATTGATTTTCCATTCCTAACTGTTGTTCCCGATGACTGATCATCTGTCTTGTGCGGAGGTTTTCTATAGTAGTACGGGAAATAAGGCCAGATAGGGTCAGGAGGAGGCGGACCATATAAAGAATTAACACCATAAGGCGGTGGTTGTGTGTAGTATGGTAGGTTCCCTGCAGGTGGAGGGTATACTCCCGTCTGTGAAGGTGGTGAATAACTAGCCGAAGGCGATTGAGTGACTGCGCCAGCACCTCCTCCGGTGCCTGCTGCTGATGGGTAACATGGTAAGGGCATGGGTTATCATGCTTGGTCTGAACAAAGAAGCTAAAGAAGAAGAGGACGAAGAAGAAAGCTTTGTTAAGCACTGTGCCGTCCATGTTACAGAAACGAGAAATAGAGGGTACGAACAAAAGTAGGTGGGACTTGGGTGAGGAGTGATACAATTGGGAAAAATGCAATTAAACTCCCCTTGTTGAAGGGTTTACTTTCAAGCCTTTTAGGTCTCATCTCAAAGTTGGATATAGAAAGCCAAATAACAACAACAAAACCATATTCCCATATACAATGGGGTAAGGGGGAGGTAAGGTAGTAGGCTGCCCCCAACGCCAGGATTGAGAGCAGCTTCCGTGGAAGACATCCGACAGGAAGAAAATTAAAAATAAAGATAAAATACAATGCATGTATAAATAAATAACTAAATACATAGTTGAAAAGTCTTCCTATGTAGTCTTCAATATGCTCGTCTGTAATGGGGAGTAATCCCTGAAAATAAATCTCTGCGTAAAAATCTCTGCATATAGACAGAAATGTAAGATCCGACTAAATTTAAAAAGAGGAAACCTGAAGAGAATGATACACAATGGTCAAACGAAAGAAAGCTACGAGAATGAATAAAGTCAAATGGGTTAAAACATAAACTGAGGCAACACTAATCTGCTACCCTAGTTCTAAGCCTTCATAAATTATAATAACAGAAACGTATATAAAGTAGAAGTCATGGAAATTATTACAAAGACATTAAAAAGAAGACAGATATGTTACACCCTATGTCTGTGACCCGCACTACTCGGCTACCCTGGTCTTAAGTCTCCATACTTTCCTATCAGAGGTCATGTCCTCGGTAATGGCTAAATCCTTCAAATCAGATCTCAAGCAGTCTTCCCACTTCCGCCTTGGTCTTCCTCTCCTTCTGGCACCGTCGACTGTAATCGACTCAACCCTCCTGACCGCATCCGATGGTTGTCGCCTATGGACATGCCCAAACCACCGTAGTCTTTCCTCCCTTAATTTTTCGGATACAGACACCACCCCCAAAGACATCCTAATAGCAGAGTTTGGTGTCATGTCCCACAGAGTCCTACCACATGTCCATCGAAGCATTCTCATTTCTGCGGCCTCCATCCTCCTTACGTGATCCTTCTTGATTGCCCAACATTCTAATCCATACAGCAGCGCTGGTCTTATTGTCATTCTATAAAATTTTCCCTTAAGTTTTAAAGGCACATTCTTGTCACAAAAAACTCTAGTAGCAGCCCTCAACTTTATCCATCCCGCCTTTATACGATGTGTAACGTCATCATCTACACCACCATCTTTATGTATCATAGACCCTAGGTACTTGAAACATTCCTTTGAGGGGATCACATGTCCTTCTATACATACTTCTACATCATCATCGTTTTGGTTCCCACTGAAGTTTGAGCATAAATACTCTGTCTTTTCAATATTGATCTTTAGACATTTTTCTTCCAAAGCAGTCTTCCAGGCAGTCAGTCTTCTATTTAGCTTAGTTTTTGTTTCAGCTACTAGGACAATGTCGTCAGCGAAAAGCACACACCATGGAACACCGTCTGGTGTCGCAGAATAGATGTCGTTCATAATCAAGGCAAAGATGTAAGGGCTAAGAGCCGACCCCTGGTGGAGTCCGATTTCCACCGAGAAAGCCTTGGTTTCGCCAACTGTAGTCCTGACGTAAGTAGTAGATCTACAGTACATATCACGAATCGCCTGGATATAAGCAGTTGGGATCCGTCTCGTTTCCAAGGTCCTCCAGATCGTATCTCGTGGAACGCTATCATACGCCTTTTCAAGGTCAATGAACGTCATATGAAGATCTCTATTTTTTCCCTATATTTCTCCATAAGCCGTCGAAGTAGATGAATCGCCTCTGTAGTAGACCTGCCTGGCATGAAGCCAAATTGGTTTTCCGAAACCCTAATAACCTGTCTCAACCTAGCCTCTATCACCCTTTCCCATAGCTTCATGGTATGACTGAGTAGTTTAATACCTCTGTAGTTGCCACAACGTTGGAGATCTCCTTTATTCTTATAGATTGGTATCACCGTAGACTCTCTCTACTCCTCTGGCATCTTGGAAGTCTCTAAAATAATATTAAAGATGTTTGTCAACCACTTAACTCCCTCTTCTCCTAGGGCCAACCACACAGTGATAGGAATCTGATCCGGTCCGACAGCTTTGTCCCTCCCTATCTTTCTAAGAGCCATTTTGACTTCCTCAAACCCAATCTTACTTGTAGGGCAGTCATTAGCCGTAGTATAATGGTCGACTGACCCATCAACGGTACTATCTCTACAGGGAGGGGCATCGTCACTAAATAAGACAAAGAATTAACTACCCCAAACCCTCTTAATATCATTATCTTTCACTAAAAGAACACCATTATTGTCCTTAATAAACCTAATGTTACCTAGATCATTTTTCCTATTTTCCCTGGATTTTGCAAGCCTAAAGATGTCGTTTTGTCCTTCCTTGGTGTCTAATCTCTTATACATTACTTCATATGCCTTATCCTTTGCTTTAGTCATTGTTTTCTTGGCTTCCCGCTTTGCCTCCTTGTATCTTTGTTTAGCTCTCGATCTTTCTTTGTCGTCATTGCATTGTATGAACTCCTTGAAGCAAGTTTGTTTTGTCTTCACCTTAGTTTGAATTTCGTCGTTCCACCACCACGATTCTTTATGTTCCCTGACCTTCCCTAACGACCACCCAAGGGTGTTTGTGCCCGCCTCTCTGATGGAATTTGCCATATTTTCCCATAATATATCTGCATTATTTGAGTTTGTAGTTCTAAAACTTGTAGAAAATAAAACCTTACTCCTAAAGTCATCAGCTGTCGCTCCATATAAGTTTTTCCATATGATTCTAGGTTTACCAAGTTTAGCCCTCCTATGAGTGCTCTTCCCTTGGCGTACGCAGAACACCAAAACCAACAATTTGTGTTGTGAGGCACATGCCTCTTCAGGGAACACCTTACAGTCAATGCAAGCCCATCGATCCCTATTTCGAACCAGGATATAGTCGATTTGGGTACAATGTCCCCCGCTGGGGAACGTAATCAAGTTCACATCTCTCTTGTTAAAGAAGGAGTTAGTGACCACCATATCGTGTGCAGTAGCAAATTCAAGCAACGTATGCCCCTCCTCGTTCCTACTACCAAAAACCAAAACCCCCATGAACACCGTCATACCCGTCAGTTGCACTACCTATATGGCCATTGAAGTCTCCCCTATAAAAACTCTTTGGTCCTCCGGAATGTTCCTAAGTACATCATCTAACTGATCCCAGAAGCAACGTTTCTCACCCTCCCCTAGGCCAACGTGTGGGGCGTACACTGAAAGGACATTCACCACTTCCTCTTCTATAATAACCTTAATCATCATGATTCTATCCAGGTATCTACAAACTTCAACTACATTTTCCTTGAGCCTAGAGGATACCAAGATACCCACCCCATTTCTAGCGTTATCTACGCCTGAATACCACAACTTGTACTCATTACACTCTCTGGCGCGAGCCCCTTTCCACCTAGTCTCCTGAATACATGCAAAATCTATTTTCCTATTACTGAGTACGTCGGTCAGCTCCAGCAGCCTAACATTTAATGTGCTTATATTCAACGAACAAACTCTAAGTCTAGTCTCCTTTACACCACTCTGTCTAGCCCTCCCCCTATACGTCCTATGGAATCTAAAAGAAGAACATGACCTCAAGTAATCATATATAGCCGAAGCTATGAGGAACTATGAAAAAAGAATCCAAAGACAAAAGATGCACCAATAAAACGCTAGATAATTGTGGTGTACTAATAGGTCTAAGTTGGTTACTTAATAGGATTTTAAGACAAATTAACACTATCTTACTTAACTGTAGGCCAACAGCTAGAAATGGAGTGGTAAAACCACAACAAAAATTATAAATCTTTATAACAGTTATACTCAATTTGAAATATCGATAATGGTATAAGAAACTAGGAGTCTAGGATAATAAAAGAAATAAGGAAGCAAAAATATGATTAGATCTGCTACGAACAAAGAAAATTAACTTTACCAGAAAACAAAATTGACAAATATTTGAAAAAGAAAAGACCAAATCGCAGACAAATTTTCTAGGTACTAAATTTATAATTTACGCTAAAAAATGTTGAGTGCGTTAAAACCTTCAATGCAATAATAATTTATGACATGAATATTTGGACTTGCACAATAACCAGATTTTTCAATAATCAACAGCCACAATAATAAGAGTTTATGCTTTCAGAACAAATAATCAATAAAACAACTTCAAGATTCTTCTAATAATAAAATGTAAGGATTTATCTTTTTCACTTAAAATCGTTGATTTCGATTAAAAGAAACACAAACGCACAAGCAGAATTCATATCTAAATGCAGAAAGACTAATGATGGACTCAAATCTCAGAAGATCCACAGAAGATGATAAACAGATCTAACTTAACTTACCGAGTTCATAAAAGAGCAGAGGATAGAGAATAAAAAGTAAGGAAAAAGGAGAGTAACCGTTGAAGGTTTCTATGAACAATTAAACCCAGATCTCGATGCAAACTGTAAGCAAATTGCAGGACGACGAAGGGATTGCAATGAAGAGATGTTTCGTTGCTATTATCTAAATTTTCCACACAGATCTCAAAAGCAGAGAAAATACCTTATATATTTGTGTTAGGTACCTTCTAAGAAAATTCAAAACCAACCCAGCTTGGATTCTTCACGGCCGGTCCAGAAAACGGTATCAAAAGAAAATCTCCAAGGGAAGTAGAAATGTTAACATTTACCCACAGATCTCAGTGCAGAGCTTGAATAAACAAATGATGGAAACACTGAATTGGAGAACAAGTAAACAACAAAACAGAAGGGAAAAAAGACGTGACAAAAATCAGAAACTAAAAGCTATACATCCAAACTGGGTTTTCAATTGAGAGGCCTAAAGACAATCTGCTTCATACAAAAGGGTGTGGCTTTTCGTTCTTCTGTGAATCAGTGTAGGATCCTTTGCTCTAAAGACAACCCTACTTAGTGGGGATACAACAAAATGATGGACAATTTGCCGAAAGCCAAATAAAAAGATGGAAAAGTAAGTCCCTAGGCCTACTTACTGGCCTTTGTGTCAAGGGATATGGAAAACAAGGTTACATTTTTGGACACCATGGCACTCCGAAACTCGGCAATCAAGATTTCTTCATTACGAGCAATGAGTTGTTTTCAATAAAGGGTTGTTGAAGACTTCATATGGAGAGGAATTTTTTCGAGCTCGAGTATACTTCAATTTTTTATTTCAAGTTTAAGTGAAAGTTAATAATTTTAAGCTCGTAAACTTTCGGATCAAACTTAACTTTAAATTTTTTAATTCGAGTCAAGTTCAGAAATACTTAAATTTAACTCGTAAAATTTATAGCAATGCTCGCATCATACGTATGATGCATTCTTTCGATCAAAGAAATTTCACCAAAATATTCCTAGCACCTTATTTTAGTTACTTTTGACCTATTTTTATATAAATAAAATAAACATGATATGAATACATGACATTAAAAATGTATGGTAACACACCAAAGCAACACTAAAAATGTGACGAATTGAGATATATACAATCATAAATAAATAAAGGGTAAACTATATTTATTACTACTAAATCATTTTTATTTTAATCATTAAATTATATTGTAGTAAAAGATGATTTTACCGAAAAATTATCCTGACAAATTTTATTTACGTGTCAAACACCTTTTTAGAAAAGAGCGGATCATCATCTGCGCATTACGTTGACGTGACGCCAACTCGGATAAAGCGTGGATGATGACCCGTGCCTTTCTAAGATAGGTGCTAGATCCGTAAATGTTTTTGAAAATGTGTCTGATATGTAATTAATTATTTAACGTGATTTTTGTGTAAAAATGCCACAAATATTAAGAAGTAGTTTTGTTTTGTCTATTTAGAAAAAAAAAATAAAATTTAATTAGTCACTCATTTTCATTTCTTATCTTCTGAAAATTTAAGTACTATGACCATAAAGAAAATCACTTGCCTTTCGTACTTATCATTTTCTTCAAATAATTACTTTTTTTAATAAATTTTTTCATTAAATCATGTAAATAAGATAATAAAATACATTTCTCTTCAATAATAATAATGAAAAATGGTGCCAATAAACTTTGTCTCGTCTCTTGATTTTGTCATTATTTAACCAGCCTTTTTGTGTTGAATACATTTTTAAATTTAATTGAGCTTCAAAGTTATTCTTAGATACGTTGAGATAATATATATATATATATATATATATATATATATATATATATATATATATATATATATATCGAGTATAAAATTCTTATAAATCTATATTTTAATATGTTTCTGATACGCTGATTGAAACGATAATTAGTGAATTCTTATAAACCACTGCTGGTTTAAGGGGATACACTGCTTAAAAGGATGCCACGCATTTAAAGGTTCACTAGCATTAACATCTAAATTTTTTATTAATGTGTGATGCTAATAAAAGAATACAAATTAATGATCAAAATAAAACGAATTAAAAATATAATAATAAAAAATATTTTTTTGAAAAATCAATGATAAAAACTTAATTATCAAGGTCAAGTTGGTCCTGTCCAGGGTAAACATCACTAGTTTATTGGTTAAATAATGACAAAATAAAGAGACGAAACAAAGTTTATTGACACTATTTTTCATAATTATTATTATTGAAAAAATGTATTTTATTATTTTATTTCCAGGATTTAATGAAAAATTTTATTAATAAAAAAAAAAATTATTTGAAGAAAATGATAAGTGTGAAAGTTACGTGATTTTCTTTATAATCATAAGACATAATTTTTCAGAAGATAGAAAATGAAAATGATTGACTAATTAAAATTTTTATTTTTTCCATAAAAAACAAAACAAAACTATTTCCTTAATATTTTATGACATTTTTACACAAATATCACTCTAACATAAATTAATTGTATGTATGCACAATTTTAATTTTTTTTACAGATTTAGCACTCATTCCAGAAAGACACATATGATATATCTGAGTTGGCGCCACATCAATGTAAGGCGCGAATGATGATCTGAGCCTTTCTACAAAGGGTGCTAGATTGATAAAATTTTCTAAAATAATATCTAACATGTAAAATAAAATATGTCAGAATAATTTTTCGATAAAATCGTCGTAATAAAAGGTATTATTAATATTATTAAAAATAAAATATTTTTATAAAAAATAATTTGGTGACTAAAATAAATAATTTGATGATTATTAATATGGTTTATTCATAATTAAAACATACAATATGATATAAATATATTAACATATCCTATTCCTATTCAAAAATATATTTATATTAAGATATCATATATATAATGGAATGATTTAATTAACCCAACAAAATTTCATCTAATTATCTCTGAAATGACAAATTTGCCTATACAATTTTATTTGACACACCGCCATTTTTTTATATAGAAAGTTAGCTATTTGTTTTTCACATATTATTTTTATTATAATATTTGAAAATTTATAAATTTATTATATTTTGGTATAATTATAAAATAAAAAATTACAATTTTAAACAATTTAAACATTATAGTTTATACTTAAAAAATCTCAATCTTATTTAAGGTAAAGAGACGTTTAATTGGGGCATTTTTGTTTTAATTTTCCATAGTGTTGGTGTACCATGCATTTTTATCTTTTTTTTTTTTTATTGTTAAGTGCAAACTTCAAGCACTTGATTTTGACGTGTGGTGAAGTAACTAACTAAATTATTGGTTCCAACTAAAAATATATAAGGGTAAATTAACGTTTAGTACTTAAACTATCAGTTTTGACCCGTTTTAGTACTTAAACTTTTAATTTTTTAAAATCATACTTAAAGTTTAGTTTGTTTTTCATTTTAGTACCCTATTTAAAATTTAATATTAATTTTTTAATTTTTTTTAAAAAGTTTAGGTACTAAAATAGATCAAAACTGATAATTTAGGTACTAAACACGTTAAGTTTTTAAAGGCGGGCTATTAAAATGAAATAAAAATTAAACGTTAAATATGGTTTTGAAAAAATTGAAAGTTTAGATATTAAAACTGATAATTTAGGTACTAAATGTGTAGTTTATCCAAAATATAAATAATACAAAAATGTATTCAATTGTATTTAATACTATTTAATAGTTTCATCTTTTATCTTTTGTAATTATTTTTTTGGAAAATGGTAAATATTTCATTAAAAAAATAACGAAATGAATCAGACAATGCATCAAAATATAGAGAGAAAAATGAAAATAACAGTCACCAAAAAGTTCATACAAAAAAATATTAAATCTAAAGATGCGAAAAAAAAAACTTTCCTTTAAGAAGAATGACCAATATCAAAAGAGTCCAGCAACCTTCATAAAAACTAATTATTTCCATCAAACGAGACGATTTAGAAAGTTTCAAAGGAGTGATAAACAAATCAAACTATTAAATTATGATTGTATATAAATTTATAAGACACAAATAATTGAAAAAAATAATAATATTTCTTGTGAAAAAAAACAATGCTCTTTCTTATAATATTACTTGTATTTCTTTTAAGTAGAGAGATTATATTCGATATAAATATCATGATTTAAACTCATATAAAACGAAGTAACATAAACATCTTTAACCAGTCAATTAAATAATAAATCTTCTCGTATAAACTTTAAATGTGGACAGTTTTGGGCTCAAGATTTAAATAATATTTCTTCTGATAGTTTTTTTATTAAGGAAAAGAGAAAAAAGAAGAAAAAAAACGTGAAATGTGGACAGTTTTGGGCTCATTGAACCCAAGAAAAGAAAAGAAGAATAATAAGTAGGATCCACGAGTTGGTGGTGAAATCGAAGTTGATCGCATCCTCTCATCACTCTGACACATTTCATATCATCAGATCGTATACTTTAGAAGCTTCTCTTTTGTTTTCACTTTTCAACTTCATTAATTTTATAACCCTCTCGTCTTTGTGGATAATTCTCATCAGCCTATAATATAATGATTTGGAAACGACGGGGCAAGGCGGAGACGCCTCCTGTTCGCCTGCCTCCACCTCTGCTCGGGTCCTCACAATTTAAATTCTATCAAGATTAACATGAAGAAGGGCCAAAACCCAGAAAGTAGCTATAGATTAAAAAAAAAAACTTGAATGTCTTCCTGGATCGTGGATCCGCTAATTTTCCAGTTTCAAATCAAGAACTATATAACAAACCTTGTGTTTGAAGATGAAAAGGAAATACCAAGTGAAAATCTAGCCAAAATAACGAGTAAAAATATTCTTAATTCTTATTAAGATACAGCAAGAACAAAAATTAGTAGGTACTAAAGCTTTTTCCTTCGGCAAAATAGAATTGCACTTACTATACCCGATTTCTTACACAATGATCCATAGAACGCTCCGATGACCGCTCCAAATTCAAAAAGCAAGAAGGACCAGGAATCCACAGACCAAAGCCAATAACCCCACTTCAAATTTCCGGCTAGCTGCACCGTACGTTTGGTCGATAGGGTAAAGGTTCCCCGGTGGACCAGTCATGTAAATGAAGGATGGTGGACTAGGTGGTGGCGGACAGTACTGGGTTGGAGGCTTTTTCGGCGTAGGTGGCTGCGGCACGGGCGGCGATGGTGGTGGTGGTGGTGGACTTTGCACAGTACATGATGGGTTACACTTGATGCCTTGATCTTCTCGTACAGTGCCCTCATCAAGCTTCCTTGACTCCAAGCCGTTTATGGGGTATGCAACGGTGGCGATCACAAAGAATATGGTTAAAGATACATTCAGATGATCGAAATGATCGGTTTTGGTCGACATGGTGGTGATTCCGATTGCTCTCCGACGAGGGAAATGTGTGGAAATATGAACTAGCGGGTGATGTTTATGTTAATAGGCACATGAAAGGCTTCGAAAATGGAGTGAATGAAACGCGTTCTTAATTAAGGGCTCCTTTATTAGTTGATTAATTCATTTTTCTAGTAGTAGGGGAATCCCATTGCATGTGAGAATTATGGGGATGTACCCTAAAAATAAAGGGAGTCCCCATCATATACGCTTTCCCACCTTAATTCATTAATTTTTTTAAGACAAATATGGTTCCCTTTATTCAATTTCTGATCAATGTATTTCATAAAATTGTCTAAGTTGGAATGCCCCAGTTGGACCGCACATGCTTACTGCATTACAAAGAAACACCCCATCATAATTTGAATTTGATAAATAACAATTCATTGAGTTGCCTAATTAGTAGTTAAATAAACTGTTATTTTCTCTTGAAATTTTATATTCTAGTAGTTATATTTATAATATATACGATATTAATAATTTAAAAAATTATAAACAAATATTATCTTATAATAATCTTAAATTATTAAAATATTAAATAAAATTAGGGTAAAGTATAGTAATGGTCACTGAACATTTCTGAAGCTTGCATTTAAGTCTCCCAACTTTTAAAACTTGCAATACAATCCCCCAACATTTATTCCGTTTGCAATATGGTCTCCCAACTTAAACCACCGTTAGAAATTAGGGTAAATTATATAAAAGGTTATTGAACTTTTCAGACACTTGAATTTAGGTCCCCCAACTTTTAAAACTTGCAAAACAGTCCTCAATTTCATTCTAAACCCCAATTTCCAAAGTAATTCAATTTCATTCTAAACCCTAAATTCCAAAATAATTCAATTAAATTCAATTATGTCAGATTTATTATTATTTAATTTCATCTTATTTCATGTGATACGTATTTTTTATATAAATATAATAGTATAATTCTTATCTGTTGAAGAAATTTTTTAATTAAAAAAGTAGTTAGGATATAGAAGAGGTTTAAAATAATTCAAATTTTAAATTTATAAAATGTTATTTTGACGTATAAATAAAAATGTAAACTACTAGGTTGACAACTTAACTATCTAGCCCTTTTTACTTTTGTCATCGATCTTTTAAATTTATCAATCATACAACATAATTATTTAACTGTTTCAACTAAGCCACTAGTCGTTACCAATTGATACAAATGATGAAGTGGCAGTTAAAAGGAATTGACATTATTATACATTCAGTCTTTATTATTTATATAATCAATTTGGTCATAAATTAAATAGAATTTAATAAATTAATCATTTAATTAGGATCTGATATGTGTTAGCACATGATCATGACACGTGTCATTGGTGACACATGTCACCACCTAATTATTTATATATGCTATCAATTTGGTCCTAAATTAAATAAAATTTAATAAATTAATCATTTAACCAGGATCTGACATGTGTTAACACATGAACATGATATATGTTATTGGTGACACATGTCACCACCTAATTAGAAGAAAATTAAGTTACAAAGAAATAAAATTTGGGTCTTGGGCAAACTCAAACCTGAGTCACGCAAATGAAAGATACAGGGTGGAGTCACTAAGCTAACACCATCGTTTGTATTAAGAGATATACAATAATACATATACTAATAGTACGACCAATGCCAGAAAAAAAACATAATGGAAAATGAAAATAATGAGATTTGAACTTCGGCAAAAAATTTGAAAGCAATAAATGATGGGAAAATATTATATTTTTTTACAATAAAAATATTATATTTGATAAATTGTTTGATAGATTTAATATATTTTTTAAATATTAGTTGATACAATATTTTAAAAGAATAAATTTAAGATTTATATATTTTTAAACTAAATTTAATAATTATATTTTTCATATTTATAATTCATGATTATATATATAATCTTAAGTTGAGTATTTCTAATATAATTAATAATTTTAATTTCTTATTAAAAATAAAATATTCAAAAAATATAAATGATTCATACATTAATATATGAATATATTTTTTTATTTATACATCTAAATATAAATATGCATTTATATAAATATATTTTTATTCGTATATTGAAATATTTTGATTAAAATATAAACGTATTTTAAATACTAGTTTATACAAGAAAAATAAAATATATCAAAAATATAAATGATTCATACATTTAAATATAAATTGAATCATTTATATTTTCTATACATCTATATTTAATAAGAAAATAAAATTATTGGGGGACTGTTTTGCAAGTTTTAAAAGTTGGAGACCTAAATTCAAGTGCTTGAAAAGTTCAATGACCGTTTATATAATTTACCCTAATTTTCTAACAGTGATTTAAGTTGGGGGACCATATTGCAAACGGAATAAATGTTGGGGGACTGTATTGCAAGTTTTAAAAGTTGGGGGACCTAAATGCAAGCTTCAGAAATGTTCAGTGACCATTACTATACTTTACCCATAAAATTATTATACAATAAAATACATTAAAGATACAAGTGATTGGATATGAAAGGTGTAGCCTAGAGGCCATGGAATGGAACAAAACATCAAACAGTTGCCAGCATCCCCAGCAGATTAGAATGGAAGAAAGGGAGGAGGAGAAGGAGAAGTGGACATGGTGGTGACTGGTGACTCACATTTCAGACATAACCATTAACTACCCTCATTGGACATGTCATGTTCCCTTTACAAATTTCATCAATCAGCACTTATTTCTTCCAAATTTCTCAAATGTTCTTTACACCTCCTCCTAGCTGCTTCCAAATTTCTCAAACATTCTATCTACTTTCCGGGATTGGAAAGCTGTTAGCGTTTCTTATGTACATAGATTAATGCCCTAATGGTAGAATGTAGTAATGCAGAAGTAGAAATTGAAGACTAATGTGGGTAAGAAGAGGCCATTAGTTGTTACTGAGAAAACGCCACCGCCATATCACATGTTCCTAATTCCGCCCTTTTCCTACGCACACCATCTTCGGATCAACTTCCTTAATCATATTCTATGCAAAATTTAATTAGTATTTACTTAAATAGTTTATTATATCGTCAGCAAATTGAGTGAGGATTGCTTTTGAAACCTAATTTGCAAACCATTTAAAATACTGCTATACACATTATTTCAATGATTGAGTAGATAACATAAATTTTATATATGAAGCTTCGCCTGAAAAATACTGAAGAAACACATAGATGAATGGACTGTAATGGTCCCAAAAAGAAAATCAAGGGGTGTTTTATTCAAAAACGAGATTAACATGGCCCATATTGTTTCAAACCAGTAAAATCTAGATACACACAACTACAGCTACAGTTTTCTCAAGGAGAAGTGGTGTTAAAATCCCCAAACAAAAAGGGAGCCAGCCTCATCCATGGGGTTCAACAACTTCGAGTCTCGTACATATTGAACCCTGTTACACCCAATCCACTCGGATCCCATTTCGTCCTCTTCGACCCCCCCAGACGGTCCACAGAACCACGGCGGTGAGTGAAATTCTTGTGCCATATCCCACAACATCTTCTGCAGCTCCTCCAGGCTGCAAACTTTCTCCTGAAAACCACAAACCCAAGTTAATCTTTTGGATTCAATCAATCAATCAGACAAACCCTATCTCCATTCTAGATGAAATGCGTTACCTCTTCCCTTGTTTGAGCCATAAGGGAGATCATTTCAGCCATAAAATCAGACAAGCCCTGCACACAATATAAACGTTTCATTCATATCTTTTTGTTTTTTTGGGAAAATTGTTGTAAGGGGAAACGGGTTTGATTCAAATAAGAATAAATGCCCAGTACCCACCTCATCGTCTTCATCATCGGGATCATATAATCCAGAATCGTACAGAGTTCTCTTCCTCTGGTCTGATAAAACTACACCAACACAACAAACAAACGGGAATTAAAACATAACCGACAAGACATACATATTCATTGAACTCAGACAACAAGACAACTCACGTACCGGAATAAGCTTCTTGAATCTGCTGGAATTTACGCTTGGCTTCACTCAATAGAGAAGGTGTGCTCGTCCACTTATCCGGATGCCATTGCTGCTTTCCCATATTCGTAAATCAAACAAAACATAAGTCCATGCTCTCCAAAGTTCAAACCAACAGTGAAAAGTTCAATACAGATCAGCTTACCATTGCAAGCTTTCGATAAGCACTCTTGATGTCTTGAGTGGAAGCATCGACCTTGACTCCCAGAACATTATAGTACGATGGTAAGCCACGTTCAGCCTCCATCATCACGACCCAAATAATAGTTGAGAATGAGCCCCAAAAGATCAATGAATGTTGTGTTGTTGTGGCGGTGATGGTGTTAAAGCCCGAGCATGGTGGGTCTTAAAAGGAAGAGGGGAGCAATATATAAAGATTGGGAAGAAAATATCTGGGTTCGGTTTTGATTGATGTGGATCAGGAATGTTCGGGAAGAAGAAAGTTGTTTCATGTGGGAATCTTGTGGATATGTATGCGTTCTTGAAGATATTTTGTTTTGAAGATTTAAGATATTTATTGAAAGCTCAATCCCAAGGGGATTTGACAACACTAATTTTTTTTAATATTCTCTTTCTGATATTGTTTGACCAATATTTTTTGAAGTAATACTTTTTCTGTTGAGTTGGTAAAGGTGCGTCTCCGGGGACACGTTTTACCCGTGTTTTTGCTGAATTGGATGCCACGTGTGGAAGGCGCATCCCCGGGGACGCGCCTTTGCCAACTCAACAGACACGCATTTTGTTTAATAATAAATAGTTTATTTTTATTATTATTATAAATTAATAATGTATTTTGTTAATGTGTGTTAAAGGTGGAGTGAATTATCTACATTAATATGATATAACAATATATGAAAACCAGTTTTGACTTTATTGTAGTTATAGGAAAAATGTATGAAATTATAATATTACACATATGGTTATATTATTATTTTTGATTTTGATTATCGATCTATTAATTTTATCAGTTAATTATTTAAATGTTATCAATCTAATCATCTCATATCAATATTTAACGAAAATATTGATGCATAAGTTAATAAATTAGTATAATTACATATTTAATCTTCAAGACTTACATATTTTATAAAATTAGTCTTATTGAAAATTTAATTTAATAAATTTAATCCTCCAATCAGAACATGAAATGTGTCATCGTATACATAAATTTTTTAATAACTTTTAATTTGTTTAATTTAATATTTTTCTCTACTTAGAAGGTGGAATTATTATTATATTTTAAAAAAATTATAACTAATAATATTAATTATTATATTTTATATTATTATATTTCGAATAATATTATTTTTATTTTTATTTTAAATTTCGAATAATATAATTTATATTTTAAAAACATTTATCAAACATTTAATGTTAAATGTGAATAAAAAATAACATTAAAAAATATGTATGTAACAACCATGAAACATTTAAATAACATAACCAAATTACATAAAATTCTGAAATATAATTATTTAAATAACATTAAATATAACTGGATCACCGATGTCGTCTTCTCGAATGAGTTCCACATGGCGGTGGTTGTCTATTTCGTGGAGGATTTCTTCGTGGAACTTGTTCTTCAGTCTCCTCATCTTCACTATCATCATCAGCAGCATTTTCTTCATTTGGTGTAGATGACGCTGAAGGGGCTGAAGGGCCTGTATAAAATAACGACCCTGGAGGAGTGCTAGTAACAATCCCACCGCTCCCCGGGAACTGTGAAAACTGTGGAAACATTGGCATCGATGTCTGTGATCCATATGGAGATTGAGGTGTCTGCGGAGAAGCACCACCAGCCAAATAAGATGCATATGAACCATATGTTGGATCATTAAACATAGTCGTATATGCACCTCCATATGGTATAAAACCCTGCGGGCTAGGCATGTAACCTGGCGGGCTAGGAATGTAATCCTGCGGGCTCGGAATGTAACCCTGCGGGCACGGAATGTAACCCTGCGGAGATGGTATATAAACTGGTGGGCTTGGCATATGAAGTGGAGGGCTGGGCATGTACCCCTGCGGCATCGACGAATAAGGATGTTGTGGTGGGACTGATGCAGAACCGGTAGCGCCTTCTCTCCGTCCACGCGTAGGGGGACGATGATATTGAGACGGTTGACGTCTTTCTCGGCGCCTAGGAATGTTAACCCCTCGTGCTTCCGCCGAAAGTAGAAACGACTTCCCATTTTCATTAAACCAGTCCATATAGTTATCCGTAACCATATGACCAGTTTCAGCGTAATATTGTCGAGGGGCCACCAGTGTATATCGGTTCTCCCAAAGCGCAATCCAATCTCTGTGTCTCACCACCCAGTTAACATCTTTCTTTCCTCGTCTATCTATGCTATGCACGTCGTCTAAATTCCTAGGAGCTCTAGGAATATATTGCGTACAACCATACTGACGGAGCACGCGATCAACTGGATGCCACTCAATAATAGCATAACATATAAGAGGTATAATCGATATCCATACCTCTAATGACCCACTAACGTGGGGTGGGATTTAAGCTTTCACTTCATCGCTCGCATAAGGTATCCACTGAAACTGAAATATAAATATACAATTCAAATAAATAAAATATTCTAATTATATCTAACATTTTAAATTAAAATATTAATAATTAAACAAATTTAAAAACATACCTCAGACCCAGCTTTCGTATCAATAAGTAAACGAATTTCCTCTAACCCAGTAGGTATACTTTTATGGTCCTTTCTTTTCATCGACCACCTATAAAATATAATATAAACTAAATATCACCCTATTTAATTGAATATATTTAAATCAAAATTTAGTTCGAAAATTACCTCAACAATAAGGGGAATACGTATGGTTCATTCACGATCGGGCATAAGAAAGGCATGCGGAACCACGCCCATGATTGTAGAAGCAGAAGACATCCACCGATAGCAGTTTTCTTATAATTCGTCGCCCGACACATTTCTCTACAGAGAAATGCCAAAACTGCAGCACCCCAACTATATCTTCCAGCTTCATCAAAATCGATCAGATGCCGCAACCACATACAATGAACCTGGTTGCGAGATTTGTCAGGCATCAATATTCCTCCAATTATTCGTAGAATATATGCCCGAGCACATGCCTTTGCTTGATCCTCTGAAGCATTTTCATTTAAAACCTCAAAATTAGCTTTCAACCAAGATAAAGTTATTCTACCTCCATTAAACTCTGGCGGAGCAGCTCCAAGATAATCAATGCACATTGATTGCCAATCACCATCCGCCATACCACACATCATATTTCTGTCGACGGGAAGCCCCAGATGCATAGAGACATCCTCCAATGTAATTGTCGCCTCTCCACATGGAAGGTGAAAAGTGTGTGTCTCGGGCCTCCACCTCTCAATCAGTGCACAAATTAGGACAGGTTCGAGTTTGCAACCGCCTATAATTGTTGCAATATACCCGAACCCGGCAGAAGCCAAATATGGCAAAATACGTTCTGGTGTCGGTATACGTGGATTTTTAATAAAAGTCTCTAAAATACGATCATCATCCTAAATAATATACATTATAAAAAATAAAAATTAATATAAATTCATAATAACTTTAAAATAAAAATAAATTTAAATATTAACATTAATTATAAAAAATATTACCATATCGCTAAAATGTCTGGAGATATGATCAATATCCAATCGCAACAGCATTTCGTTTTCCATTATAACTGTAGACAAAAGAATATAATTAGCAAAAAAAAATTAATAATTCTAAATAAATAATAATTATATAAATATTATTTTAATAAAAAAACAATATTTACATAAATATATTAATATAAAAAATAATAACTATTTAAAAAAATACTAACATAAAAATAAATTTCTTACCACTAATAACAAATTTAAAACTCAAATAGTTGGAGAATTTGAGTTATATAAGAGAGGAGAATATGATTTTGGTGTGAAGAATGAGGGAGGGTTGAGGGGGTTTATATAGGGGAGGAGGAGGGGTAGTTAGGAAAAACGGATGGGGGGCATTTATGACATTTAATGGAAGGTGCGTCCCCGGGGATGCGCTTTCCACACGTGGCGGTCGAGTCAGTGAAGGCGCGTCCCCGGGGATGCGCCTTCCACACGTGGCATCAAACTCAGCGAAAACACGGGTAAAGCGCGTCCCCGGGGACGCGCCTTTGCCAATTCAGTAGAAATGGTGCTACTTCGAGAAATATTAGTCAAACGATTTCAGAAAGAGAAAATTAAAGAAAATTGGTGTCAAAATAGCCCAATCCCAAAGCTTGCTTTTCTGCAATGGTGACGTGAACCTTTTAACCAGCACTTGTAATAGAGACACGTGGAAAACTATTACTATTCTGGATCTTTTGTTGATAATTGGATGAAATTTAATGTTAGGGAAATTTGAATTATTATAAATCATTTTATTTAAAAAATATATAAAAATATTATAATATATTTATAATAATGTTTATTAATAATAAATATAATTTTTTAATTTTTAATTAATCAAATTAATGTTATATTGATTCTTATTGATAAATATAATGTCTTGATTTTAAATTTATTAAATTGATGTAATATCCATTCCTAACATAAATTTAATCAAAGATTTTACATAGATAAATATAAAGTTTTTTAAACCTCTTAAGATTAGAGAGGAGACTAGATAGGGAATTTTGTAAATTTAAATGTTAATATTTAAATAAACTAATTTAAATTTTACGTAAGGTTAATTATATCATTGAAAAATAATAATAACTACAATAACTATTTAAGAGTGCTATCAAAATGGATTTACTAATGTCACATAAAATTAAAACTACTAGATTATTTTATCCCAAATTAAGTTAGAGAAAATCGCCTCAGTGACCAAAAATGTCTTATAATATACGATTTTAACCAACTTTTTCCGGATTTGCCAAAATGACCAACAAAATCGCAATGCGATCGCTAATTCGCAACGCGATCTCCATTATCGCAAATTCGCGTTGCATTTCGCGTTGCGATAGTTGGAAATCGCGTTGCGATGGTCTACAGTGTCGTTGCGATTTTCCCAATTCGCAATGCGAATAAGTAAATCGCAACGCGAATTGGGAAAATCGCAATGCGATACTGACTATCGCAATGCGATACTTACTATCGCAATGCGATAATACAAAATCGCAACGAGATACTGACTTTCGCAACGCGATTCTGACTTTCGCAACGCGATAATACATAATCGCAATGCGATTTTCAAAGCGCCATTAGTATCTTGGCCAAGTATTTTATTTTTAAATTCCAAACACGAATATTAATATATTGGAACACTGAACCGTCCACAGTATATCCCGTAATCGCAACTCATAACCTAAAACCTAAAATCACAACTCAGTCTCATCTCCATCTCTCACTCTCTCACCCATCTCCGATGAAATCCGTCCCCATCTCCGGCGAAATCCGTCTATCTCCATCTCTCAGAGCCACCCTCACAATCAGAAATGGAAA